GCTGAGAAGGGATCTATAACGCGAGGTTTCATTTTACGGGTTCGCCACGAAACGAAGATACACTTAACGTTGCTTTAGCGTTGGTCATTAAGCGTATGTTGGCGTATGTTGGCAAGCAAGAATACAAATAAGAATAAAAAACTACAATAAAAAATACGAAATATAAAAAAAAAATAAAATAACGTCAACATTTTATAACGTATATGAAGTACAATGATGTAGGAATCAGACAGTGTAAAACACGATGCGTCTGTCTCTATGATAGAGACGCGGTAGTCATAGTGACGCTGACCTTGCATTCGAGGTTGCACATGAGCTCTCCTACACTGTTGTACTTGTCACTCGCTGTGTTCATCATGACGTGAGTCGCTAGCGTTGTCTCCGTCATGCCGTAAGCTGTAGTCAGTGTGGACAAGACACGATAGAGACGGGTCGGTACGTGGCGCAGTAGAGAAGTCACTAATTGGGATTAATAATGGTAATTAACTACCGTAATATATTATTGATTGTTGATAGTGGTTGTATGGATGGATTGATGGATGGATGGCTGAGTAGATGGATGGATGGATGGATGGATGGATGGATGGATGGATGGATGGATGGATGGATGGCTGGATGGATGGATGCGATGGATGGATGGCATGGATGGATGGATGATGGATGGATGGATGGATGGAGGATGGATGGATGGTGATGGAGATGGTATGGATGGATGGATGGATGGTGGATGGATGGATGGGATGGATAGGTGCGTAGACTGGATGGATGGATGATGGATGGATGGCATGGATGGGATGGATGGATGGATGGAATGATGGATGATGTGGATGGATGTGATGAATGGTGGCATGGATGGTGGATGGATGGATGGATGGATCGGATGCGATGGTATGGATGGATGTGGATGGATGGTTATGGATGGATGGTGGATGGATGGAGGGATGGATGGAATGAGACTGGATGGGATGCATGGGGGATGCGATTGATGGATGGATGATGGATGGCTATGCGATGGATGATGCGGATGGATGGATTGATGGATGATGGATGGATTGATGGATGATGGGATGGATGATGCATGGAGGGATGGTGGATGATGAATGGATGGATGGATGAGGATGTGGATGGATGCGATGGATGATGGATCGGGATGATGCGATTGATTGAATGGATGATGGATGGATGGATGGTTGGATGGATGAATGTATGGATGATCTACCTACCCTGAAACAAGTTCAGCTGGGCTTTCCCTCCCAGTCGGTTGATGACTGTTTCAGCCAGCTCCTTACTGAGCGGTGCTGCCCCGCACGTTATCAGCTGAATGTGAGAGAGATCGTATTTGTCCACCAGAGGGTGCTTGGCTAGGAACAGCACAAGAGGCGGAACCAGCGACAATTTCTTGATCTGCAAATATTTGTTGAGAAATCGCAAAATTGTTATAACCACATGTTATAATATTCTGGGAAGGCAATGGCTCTGGATAGCAGTAAGGTGTGATAAGGGTTTGTAACCACTTGTTTTGTTACCATGGTTACTACTAGAATACTAACATTACTAACACCGGAACCCTGTATTGCGCTTTACACATTCATCGACGCACCCTATTGTTCAGGGACGCATGTCTACACATAGAGTCAGTTATACCCTGCACAACAGAGCTCAAGTTCAACTTAAAGGTGATGTATTCTTGCTAAACAAATCAATACAAATTTTTACAAATAATTCAAAATTTTACAACAAATTAACAGAACAAAGGAATGCAGTAGCAACCAATACGAATGAGGAAGGCAGATATAACTTAAAACAATGCCGACCTTATATTTTTCGATCGTGGCCAGGAAGAGCCGCGGCCGGAAGCGAGGTAGGACGGCCACAGCGGATCCGGTCATGAGACTGGATATGACTGATGCGTTGAGGCCTGACACGTGATAGAATGGCATCACGCCCAGCACCACCTCGTTTGTCGCTCCCAATATCGGCGTGTTGTCCTTAGACTTGATCGCACTGCCTAGCAACCTGTAACATCACAAATAAAAACATGTGACATCACGCGCAGTCGCCGGTATAGTGACGTAAGCAGCGGTGTAAATCACGGCATTATCAACATGGCGGTCTTTGTTCAAGGTCATAACAGCAGTGAAGGACGCGATGTGTAGACAGATATGTTAGTGATCAGACAGATATGTTAGTGACATTAACTAACCCCCAGAAGTCGTGTCTATCACTAGACCACCATTTTTCCCCTTCTTGTTCTTCCTCAGTCCTCCTCCTCCTCCTCCTTCTCGTCCTCCTCCCTCCATTACCACCGATCTCCACTCTTCTTCCACAACCACCTCCTCATTCTTTTTCAACTCTTCCTCCTCATCTTCTTCCTTCCATCCTTATCCTCCTCGTCCCCCCTCCTCCTCCTCCTCTCCCCCACCACACCATCACCACTCTACGCGCCTCTTCCTCATTTTATACAACCACCTCCTCATTCTTTTTCTCCTCTTCCTCCTCCTCCTTCTTCTCCTCCCGCTCTTCATCCTCCTCCTCTTCCTCATTTTATACAACCACCTCCTCATTCTTTTTCTCCTCTTCCTCCTCCTCCTTCTCTCCTCCCGCTCTTCGATCTACCTCCGGTACTCTTCCTCATTTTGATCACACCTATTTTTGCTTTCTCCTCATGCTATTTCCTGTCTCCCCTGCACCCTGTGCCCTTTCGCTCCTATCCTGCCTCTCTGCCATCCTCCTCCTCCTCTGGCGTTCTGTCATTCTCCTCCTCCTCATCCTTCGTCCTCCCGTCATTGCATTCATCCTCCTCTTTTCCTCATTTTATACAACCACCTCTTCATTCTTTCTTTCTCCTCTTCCTCTTCCTCCTTCTCCTTCCTCACCCGCTTCCTTCACTCCGTCCCTCCTCCTGCTTCCTAGCTCCGTCTCCTCCTCCCCTCCTCCTTCACTCTACTACTACTACTACTACTACTACTACTACTACTACTGCTGCTGCTGCTGCTGCTGCTGCTGCTGCTGCTTCTGCTGCTGCTGCTGCTGCTGCTGCTGCTGCTGCTGCTGCTGCTGCTGCTGCTGCTGCTACTACTACTACAGAATAGACACGGAGGAAAACCCGAACAACTTTGATGTTAGTGACACAGAAGAACCTACGAGACCCCATTATGCCTCTTTACTGACTTCATAACTTCCATGACTGCCACCAGGTTGCGTGGCGTTAGCATGACGCCCTTCGGCAAGCCCGTAGTTCCGCTGGAGTACATGAGCAGGGCGATGCTTTCGGCGCAGTCTACGTTGACTGGCGCCGAGTAGAATGCTCCCTCGTCTTCCATCAGTGTGCGGAATGGAAGGAAGCCGTCCGCCTCTCCAAAGACGAATATTTCCTAATGAAGAGGGATTTCAATTGCTTGCGTGCGTTCTCGCTCTCTCTCTCTCTCTCTCTCTCTCTCNTCCTTTCTTTTTTTCTTTCCTCCACCCTCCCCTTCTTTCTTTCTCTCTCTCTCGCTTTCTCTTCCTCCCCCTGAGCCTCTCTCTCTATTTTTTTCTTTCTCTCTTCTTATCTCTCACCCTCTCTCTCTTCCTATGGAAAATATACCTTCATTGTGTTCGACTTTACAGCCGCTCGCTGCGCCCTCTGTGTGTTCTCTGGTACTGTTATTAGCCACCTGGTGGCGCTGTCTTTCAACTGATATAGAACTTCATCTGGTTTTAAAAATAGATTTATTTTTTAATAAAACTGAAATTCAATAAATTACAGATGTTCTCTCTGGCGCACGCTCTCTTTCAGCTCAATATATACGTGTTTTGGATACCTATGTGACCCGTAGAATAGCTAGACGGTGATGTATGTTTGACGTTAGATTGTCATCATGACTTATGGTAATGCTGCGGAATCACCACGTGGCCGCATGTACGTAGATTGCTATGCACACCTATCCTAGCTCACCTTCTATGTAGAAAAACTTAGTGAAATTATAATCTAGTTTAGACATAGAGAAGATTCATTGTCTGATAATGTGTGTGTGTGTGACACACTATATATATACTTGTACTCTAGCTTATACAGGGTGACCCAAAACAAATGCAACCCACAACAAGTGTTAATATAACGTTGGGATATGTGATGTGAAACCCTCCATTTTGTCAGATTTAAAGAGGTGAATTAGTTCCCAACATCAGATTCAGAATCAAAAGTTTTCATCAAGATGCTCGGAACTCTGTCGAGACAGAAAATCATGGTCGTGGAAAACGCCAATAACTTTATAGCGACCAAATCGTCAAAGACTGTAACAAAGCACGTTTCAAGAGGAATTCAAATTGGCCCGGCACACTATCTAAACAAAAGGACTCATAATCATAAGGCATGGATAACAAACATTCAGGGTGCATGGGAACTAGTCAAGACACCGTCAACCCCAAAGAGAATACTCCCTTCTCAACACCCACTGCCACCCTACGGGAGACAAAAGGAGTGCCAAGAACCAGAGGAGAAATCGCACCTCAGTACAGGGACCTCGTTGGCCGCAAGCCAAAAGAAGTCGTTACGTTGGCGCAAGCCAACCAATTGGGCATATCCGAGGATGTCTCTGAGGAGAATTTTGAATTACAGGATCTGCATTCGTCTCATACAGCAGGATAGAAATTAAGCATAAGCTGAAACCAGAATAATTACTCCTACAGAGACCCACTCCCTCGGAATGCCCAGATTGTTGGCTGCGGCGCAACGTAACGACTTACTTTGGACTGGCGGCCAACCGGAGGTCCTGACTGAAGGTGAAAATGTATCTCTCTCGTTCTTACACTTTTTTGTCTCCCTGAGTGTGTGAGAGTATCCTTTGGCGATGAGCGCTTCTTGACAGTACCCATGCACCCTGAATTCCCTGATAACCACAATCTTAGAATCGAGTCCTTTGTTTTAGATAGGTGCGGACAATTGAAGTTCCCTGAAACGTGCTTGTAACCAGTTTTGAACGAATATTGGCTCGAAAAGTACGTTTCCACGGACCCTGATTCTGTCGAAGAGTCCAAAGGCATCTTGAAGAAAAGCTCTGATTCTAAATCTGATTGGAGCAACTATTCACCNGATGGATACAGAATTCAGGGTGCAATGGACTGTCAAGAACTCAACCCCAAAGGGAAGTACTCTCAAACACTCAGGGAGAAAAGGAGTGGCAAAAAACAGAGGCGAACATCACCTCAGTCAGGTACCTCGGTTGCGCGCAGTCCAAAGAAGTCGTTAACGTGACTTTGGCGCAGCCAATAATTGGGCATTCCGAGGGGAGTCCTCTGAGGAGAATTTTGAATCAAGGATCTGCATTCGTCCTCATACAGGATAGAATTAAGCATAAAGCTGACGCCAGATAATTCTCCTCAGAACTCCCTCGAATGCGCTGAAAATTGATTGGCTGCGCCAACGTAAGCGACTTCTTTGTGACTGGCGGCCACGCGAGGTCCTGAGCTGAGGTGATGTTTCTCTCTGTTCTGCACTTTTTTGTCTCCTGAGTGTGTGAGAGTATTCCCTTTGGCGTTGAGGTTCTTGAACAGTCCCCATGCACCCTGACTTCGTACCATCTTAGAATGAAGTCCTTTTGTTTTAGATAGGTGCGGCAAAGTTGAATTCCTCTTGAAACGTGCTTTGTCACAGTTTTGAACGATTTGGTCGAAAAGTAGCGTTTTACTACACGGACCATAATTTTCAGCTGTCGAAGAGCTCTCAAGGGCATCATTGATAAAACTTCACTTGAATTCTACATCTGATTGGCACTAGTCCGACACGCTCTTCTGAGAGGAAGATAGCGTGAAAAAAGCTGAAAGGGTTAAGCCATCAGAGCTTATCAAAATAGTTGGTTAGAGCCAAAGTATGTCTGTGGGGTTAGAGGGCGAGTGGTTTGTTTAGGGGGTCACGGCGAGCGGGCTGTAATATTGAATGAGAGATATGAAGAAGTAAAGAAATAGTAAGAGGGAATCTCCCCATATTATCTAGTTCGTGATCAAATATGGTACCTTGTACTCTAGCTTACTGTGTAGGAAGAGGTTCATGTGTGATAGTGTGGTATGGTGATAGTGGAGAAGCGTGTGATGAAGTATATAGATGCGTTATTTCTGATAGTTGCCGGGACGGTTCATGAATATTGAGTGGGATGGTAGGGGTGTGTGGGTTGTGTGTGTGTGTGCGGATGTGACTGAGAGATGGGCGATGTGAGATGTGTGTGTGTGTGTGTGTGTGATGTGGCGCGTGCAGTGTCCGTGTGCGGTGGCGTGCGTAGCGTTGCGTGAGCGTGAGGCGTGGCGTAAGTCGTGTGTGTGTGTGTGTGGTGATGTGTGGTGTGAAGTGTGGTGATATGCAAGATGCGTGTGTAAATAAGCGAGAGAAACGTACGAATCCTTCTGTATAACGAGAGGGTTGATGGTGGGTGACTGTACCACCACAGTATACAGCGTGGCGAGGCAAGGCGACCTGGCATACTCATTGTATGTTATAAACTGTAGATTTGGGGGCCAGGAGACAGACGGTCTGCTACTGCAGAACCACGCATTGGCTCAAGGCCGGAGCTGGCGACTCTCTGCAGCGTAGTGACGTAAGCTGTTCGGTAGGTGTAACTCCTCACCATGTCACTGCATTTATCTAGGCGGAGTGGCAGGGCAAGAAACCACTCTCTCTTTACAAGCACGAAGGTTTATCCTCTCGGCAGTCTCTCGTCTCTATGTCGTGTACGACAGGCAGCACACACACGCGCAACAACACACAGACACAGACGCAAACGCAAGCCACGCACACACACCACACACACACACACACACACACAACACAACGCGGCGCACGGCACAACACACGAGAACACACACCCACACACGGACGGCACAGAGCGAGCAGCGCGCGGGAGAGACAACGACACACACTACACACCACACACACACACACACACACGACACACGCGCACCAACGCACAGCACACACACGCACAAGCACACACGAACAGGAGACAGGAGACAGAGACAGAGACAGAGAAGCACCAGAGAGGAGAGACCACGCAACACGACACACACACACAACGCACAAGCAGAGAGCAAGAAGACACACGCACAGCGACGACAAGAGAGAGGAGATGAGAAGGCGAGAGATCGCGAACGGCAAGACAGCGAGAGGGAGAGGTGGAGAGAGAGGAGAGAGAGAGAGAGAGAGAGCAGAGCAACACAACAGACGAGCACACCACAGAGAGGAGAGACACGCGCACATCACACAACCACGACAACAGCACACACAACGCGAGAGCGCGCCACACATAACACACACCACAGCACAAGCCTGCGCCGCACGCACGCAACACATCGCGCCGCACGACACCAAAGGCACACACGAGCTGGGAGAGTTCAAGAGAAGAGAGGAGCGAGAGAGAGCACCGCACGGCACGAGAGAGCGAGAGGCACGAAGAGAGCGAGAGAAACGCAGAGAGGGGCACGCACACACACGCAAGAACCGGAGAGCAGAGAGGCAACGAGCGAGCCGGAAGAGAGAGCGGAGGCGAGAGAGCAAGGAGAAGAGAGCGAGAAGAGAGCGAGAAGTAGAGAGAGAGAAGAGCAGAGAGAGAGAGAGACAGAGAGAGACGTGAGAGGAGCACAGAGAGAAGAGAGAGAGAGAAAGAAACGAGCCAGAGAGGCGAGAAGAGAGAGAGAAGCAGAGATAGACCAACAAGAACGATCAACGAGCACACGAGGTAGAGAGAGAAGAGAGAGAGAGAGAGAGACGAGAGAGAAAAGAGAGAGCGAAGAGAGAGAGAGAGAGAGAGAGAGAGAGCCGCACACAACTACAACACGGCATAGACCATGCAACGGCCTGGCACGACAGACGCGCGGAGACGAGAGACAGGTGACCGACACCAGCCAACCAGGGCCCCACAGCGCTCACACACACACCACACAGTCACAACACCACACAGTCACACCCAGCGACAGTCACCACATCCACAGTCACACACACACATGCACATGCACAGGCAACACGCACACCACACCCGACGCAGCACGCACACGCACACACACACCACCCCGCACATCGCACACACACACACATGCACACCCACACGCCACGCCACGCGCCACACACACTCTCTCTCTCTCTCTCTCTGTCTTCTCTCTGTCTCTCCATGTGTCCTCTTCTTAATGCACTCTCCCCGATCGCTCTCTCTCTCTTCTCCTCTCCTGCTCTCCTCTCCTCTGCTCTCTCCTCTTTCCTCACTCTCGCCGTCCCTAGCTTTCTCTCTCTCGCTGGCTCTCTCTCTCTCTCTCTCCTGCCTCTCTCATCTCTCTCTCTCGTAGGCGCCCCCCCGCTCGATCTCTCTGCTCTCTCTCATCTCGCGCGCGCGTCTTCTCTTCGTCCTCGTCTCTCTCTCTCTCCTCTGTCTCCCTATCACTCCACTCCAACGCTTTCTATCTTTCTTAATCTCTCTCTATCTCTCTGCCTCTCTCTCTCTATAAAAAAGAAAACATTTACCATAGCTCGTCGATCTCCGTAGCTATCGAAACCTTCCATGATGTAAGCACCCAGGTTATTCACGTGCGGTATTGGGACCGGGGGTAGAGCTGATTTGATCACATTCATGGCTACCATCTTCTGTGCTCTAGCTTAGCAGTTCCGAGGTTCGCGGATTAGAGATAGAGCTAGGGTTGGGTTTAGGGGCTATGGTTCGTTGTTGGAATTAATGATAGGGTTAGGAAACGATTAACGGTTAGGTTATGGTTAGTAATGTTAGAGTTATGGCTAGAGTTGACAGGGTTAGGGTTAGAGCCTGGGGTTAGGGATAGGGATTAAGGGTTTAGGAACATGGGTTAAAGGTTTAGGGATATGGCTAGGGATAAGTTTACCTTGTACAGGCGCTCTATAAATTAAGCTGCTGTTTCTGATCCCAGTATACACACACATACACACGTACGCAGCGGCTACAGCCAGAGTCTGATGTAAAACTAAGGTTGTTAAATCTCTTAGTCAAATATTATCACGACAAGCACGAAGTATCACGGCATATGCACTGTATTGCACATTAACCCCCTGGACGCTTCGACTGTTACCGTGACGGTGACCTTGCAGTTCCTTTCCTTGCTAGGAACACATGGAGAGCATGAGGTGGTTGTTAGTGCCGTTGTTCTTCGTCGTTAATGTTTTTTTATTATACGAAATCTGGTTTATCGATGGGGGGGGGTCGGTCTTTGTGTATGAGAGATTGGGTGCTGGTGGGCGTGGGAGCATGACGATCGAGGACATGGTTAGTAGGGAAAGGGGTGCGGGGTATGTGAATGATCAAGTAAGTGTGCGTCTGTGCATTTGTGTGTGTGCGCGCGCGTATGTGTGTGTGACATGTACAGATGTTTGTTCAGGCTTTATCAAATGGATGAAATATTATTTCATTGCAATAATACAACTAATCTGGAGAGCACATACCCACCATTCAATTTAATAATAGTAAGGTGCCTAGATGTGCTAATCTTCTTGTAACATCCGGGCATACCGCTGTTCGCGCATGCCATGTATCTCTGAAATCTGGCTTGTCTCTTTATGAATGGTAGCGAGCCCTAGCTAGTAGATGTATCAGCAATGAAATTTAAATCCACCACCAGATTGCGATGTGTTCTACATTAGAATCCGTTAATATAGATAAAATTATATATGAATTACTCTAATAATTGATCAAAGTCGCTGCTACATTATTGAAATACATACATCGAAGTGTAGGGCCGGGTGGGAATTTCACGGCCAAACTTTTACCAATCTTATTCAGGAAATGTTGTTCTGTATATATAGGTACTGTAATTATATTAATTCCACTCTACGTTAACTACGTTTTAGAGTATTATAATAGCTTTAATAATGCATTTTACGGTTACACACAACATACAATGTGCGCATATGAATTCATTCTCCCGAAAGATGGCGCGAAGATGTCATATTTGATCAAAATCGCTGCTACATTATTGATATACATACATCGAAGTGTAGGATGGGAATTTCACGGCCAAACCTTTACCAATCTTAGCCAGTAAATGTTGTTCTGTATAGGTAGTGTAATTATATTAATTCCACTCTACGTACGTTTTAGAGTATTATAATACCTTTAATAATGCATTTTACGGTTACACACAACATACAATATGCGCAAATAAATTATTTCTCCCGATAGATGGCGCGAAGAGGTCATATTTGATCAAAGTCGCTGCTACGTTATTGAAATACATACATCGAAGTGTAGGATGAGAATTTCACAGCCAAACCTTTACCAATCTTAGCCAGTAAATGTTGTTCTGTATAGGTACTGTAATTATATTAATTCCACTCTACATTAAATACGTTTTAGAGTATTATAATACCTTTAATAATGCATTTTACGGTTACACACAACATACAATGTGCGCATATGAACTATGCATATACTAATTTTGCGCATCACGGGCACGAAACATCTACTATATAATAGATATGTTATATTATATATAAGTGTCGTTTTCCGTATCTCCTCCGAAACCGTGCCTCGTATTTTCACGCGAATCGAGCTGGGGTCCATTCTGGACGTCCCGAATACATTCCGCTACGTTAGAACGCGATTTTTCGATCGTAAAGTGACTTTTGGAGGGAATTTTCTAAAAAGTTATGTGCCCGAAGAAACTTCGGCATTCATCGGAAACCCGCACCAAATTTTAAGATCGCCAAATCCGCATGCGCACACACGCACAGTGTCTGTCCGTCCGTCCGTCCGTCCGTCC